GTACATTTCATTTTCTGATTTTCAGTGGATGTTTACAGCGGTTTCTCTTCATTTTGAGTTGTGCCCCATCAACAAATGAAGGTCCTGAGGGCTTTTCTTCCACGGGCTTTATTCCATTCACATCATCATGGTCATCTCTACTTTGAGGAGGCAGCTCTTCTCCAGTCGCATTTTAAGTGCCTTCCAACTTGAGGGGCTCATTTTCTGGCACTATATCTTACAGTGTTTCTTTGCTAGTCATAAAGTTTTTAGTGATTAAATATTTGGAAGTAGTTCTACACTACTTCTTCCTAGTCTGTCTTCATCTGAAAGCTTATCTGAAACATGTCCACAATAGGTGACCCTGCTGGTATATAAAATACTGGGGACATAGCTTTCAGAATTACAGCAACTCACAAGCCACCACAGTACAACAAACTGACAGAATAGCGGAAAAAGATTGGAAAGGTGGAAAAACCACCTTCCAGAGGATATAAATCTAGATGAAGAATATGTTGAGTAATGATAGCTTCTAATTTGGCAATTTTTTTTTATTAAAGGTTTCTTTGATTTTGTATCAATACTCTTTTATTTACCCTCATATAGTATAGTATGGTAGCGTAGTGGTTACGAATCGGGCTGCGACCCGCAAGGACAGCAGTTCAAAACTACCAGCTGCTCCGCGGGAGAAAGATGAGGTGATCTGCTCCCGTAAAGATTTACAGCCTTGGAAACCCTGTTCCGGGTCGCTATGGGTCGGAACCGACTCGACGGCACTTAACAACAACAGCAGTATAGTATGGTGGTGGTTATATGCCATGGAGTCGCTTCCAGCTCACAGTAACCCTGTGTAGAGTTTCTGAAACTGTAACTCTTAACCGGAGCAGAAAGCCTCGTCTTTCTCCCACATAGTGGCTGGTAGATTTGAACTTCTGTCCCTGTAGTTTGTAGCCCAACTTGTAATCCACTATGCTGCCTGTGTCCCTTCATATATTATAGCATGTGCAAGGTGTCCTTTATTGTATACTTCTTAGAGGGAACAGTCGCTGGAGAAGGGTGTCATGCTGGGTAAGATGGAGGGTCAGAGAAAAAGAGGAAGACCCCCAACGAGATGGATTGGCCAGGTGGCATCATTGATGGCATCGAGTGTGGTGGCGGTAGTGAGGTTGGCCCAGGATCGGACATTGTTTTGTTCTGCTGTGCAAGGGGTCACTATGAGTCGGCTCCGACTCGATGGCACCTGACAACAACAACAACAACAACAACAACAACGGTGTCATCATTTACCTTGGTCAGTTGGTGCTGACATTACTTCTGTTTGGTATTACCTTTTCCTTCATAAGGATGAACAAGTGTATACGATCTAGAAAGTGATTTCCTCTTCCCTCTCACCTAAGAACCTTGCTTTTTATATGTATACCTAATCTTGTTTTTTTAATTCTTTTGGCTGCGTAGCATTCCATTGTGTGTATGTACCACCGTTTTTTTCAATCCATTCTTTTGTTAATGGACACGTGAGTTTCCATCTTTTTGCTATTGTGAACAGTGTTGTGATGAACACATACATGCATATGTCTGTTTGTGTCACTGCTATTAACTCTCTAGGGTACATGCTTAGGAGTGGAATTGCCAGATCATAGAATAATTTCAGGAAGTGCCAAACTAATTTCCATATTGATTGATCCAATTTATAATCCTATCAGCAATGGAACAAGATACCAGTATCCCTACATGGGAAGGAAAGACAGTAAATAACCAAAGCAATATTGAAAAGAAAAACAAAGTAGAAGACCTCACGTGACTTAATCTCAAAACATACTATACAGCCACAGTAATCAAAACAGCAAAGTGCTAGTTCCACCACAGACAAACAGACCAACAGAACGTAATTGAGACCCAGAAATAAATCCATCCACTCATGGGCAGCTGATCTTCAACAAAAGGTGAACAAAGGTTGCACAAAGGTGAAGAAACAGACTCCTAAGATAATCGTGCTGGCAAAACTGGGTTGTTGTTGTTGTTGTTAAGTGCCATCGAGTCAGTTCCGACCCATAGCGACCCTGTACAGGGTTTCCGAGGGTGTTGGGTAACTGCAGAAAAATGAAAAAGGATCTGTATCTCTCACAATACACAAAAACTAACTCAAAATAAAATCAAAGACCTTAATATTCAAAATAAAAGTAGAAAGTTCCTGGAAGATACAGGAAAAAACAATGGGACCTAATTTTCTTTACAAACAGATTATCAAACACAGCTGCAAATGCACGAACAACAGGAGACAAGTTAGATAACAGGAACCTCCTAAAAATTAAATGCCTATGTTTGTGCCTTATTGATTATGCAAAGGCTTTTGACTGTAGATTACAACAAACTATGGATAACTTTGTGAAAAATGGTTACCCCAGAACATTGAACTGTACTCGTGAGGTACCTGTACATAGACCAAGGGAATACTGAATGATTTAAATTCAGGAAACGTGTGCACCAGGGTTGTACCCTTTCATAACACTTATTCAGTCTTTTTGCTGAGCAAATAATCCGAGACTCTGGATTATATGAAGAAGAACGTGGCATCAGGATTAGAGGAAGACTCATTAGCAACCTGCAAAATGCAGATGACACATTCTTGCTTGTTAGAAGCAAAAAGGACTTAAAGTACTGATGAAAATTAAATACCAGTCTGTAGGGTTTCTGAAGTTGTAAACCTTTACAGGAGCAGAAAGCTTCATCTTTCTCTTGAGGAACAGCTGGTGGTTTTGAACTGCTGGCCTCGCAGTTAGCAGTGCACTACTTATCCTACAATTCCACACCAGGACTCAAATTAGTAGTTTCTGCTTATTTATATTCTGTATTAGATTTTGTAGGTTAGGAATGTGTGATGTCTGTTTTGTGGCAAACCAACACAAATCTCTTGCTCTTATTAACAGTATTACCTGAGATATTAAAAGAGTTAATGGATTAAATGTTTAAGTAATAAACTTTGTGTAAAGACCTAGGTATATCAGCATTGTTAATGTTTAAATTAGGAACTGAATCTAAAATTCAGATAGATAGACTACTAAGATATTTCATACTTTGTCAGCAAACTTCATGTTTTTCCTGTTTCATCAGCCAGTTACCAGCAAGACATGTTTGAAATGCTTTGAGGTGATTCATGCTTCCTCATTTGTTAGTTCTAATTTACTAGAAAGGACTGATATGTTTGTTTGTTCTTTTAGCTTGAGAATGCCAGGCTGTCCTCAGAGATGAATACATCCTCTGTCAACAGTGCCAGGGAAGAACTCATGGAAAGTCGGATGAGAATTGAGAGTCTTTCATCTCAGCTTTCTAATCTACAGAAAGAGGTAAATAAGAATCTTCCCCTAAGAAGTCTGCATGTTGAATTGAGAGGCAAGGTCTACCACAATAATCTGTCTGCTGCATTCTGCTCAGTGTCACTCCTCCTGCTATTTGCCTGAGACTCCTGCTTTTACCAGGTTTTCTCATTTTGCATTGTAGATAGAGCTAAGTCACTTGCCCTTGGGCAATTTGTCTGCTAGTGTAGTCACTGGGCTTAACCTTGGTCCCAGTCTGACCTCAACAGAGTGCTGGTCCCAACACACATACTCCTTTTTCATCACATTTGGAAAAACGTACTGAGGAAAAACGTGCAAACATTCTTAATGGGTGGTGAATGCTTTGTGTTTTAGACACATTCTTTCAGGGCTTAAACTAGTTAACTAGGATCTTGAAAGGAAGCGTTAATTAGCATAGTAGTTAAAAATTAATATACTTAAGTGACAAATAAGCACAATGCTGGTGTATTGACTTGGTGCCTCTAAGTGCATGATGGTGTGTTCCGTGTACATCTTAAGCAGGCTTGTACTCTGCTCAAAATCAGTTTTCACTTTAAGGGAGGTGTTGCTGTGGATACAAAGTACATACCAGGGGATTTCAAAAAGTTAATGGATCAATTCTATTATCTTTTAACTCCATTTTTCTATAAACTTTTTGAAACTCCCTCACATGTAAACCATATTAAGTATTCAACAAAATTGTTTTAATAATTTAGTGCTGTTCAAACCGACCTGGTGGTCCAGTGCTCATACAGTGCCACACAAGGACTCCACGACATACAAGAAAACAATTTCTGTTTCAGTTAGCAGTTCAGCACCTAACCGCTGTGCCAAGATGTCTCCTTTTTGTTGCATACTTGTTTTGTTTTAGAGCTATTGATTCCTTGGACAGTAACTTCAGCTTCTGTTTTCCTCTAGAGAAGAAATCTTGTTCTAAAACTATACGTGTTAAAAGAAACTTTACTTTTGATTAGACCTTTCTTCTTTCCTTTTTTCCCCTTTCTTTTCTTACCATTTTACTTCTAGTAAGATCTTTTTCTGCTTAGAAAGTTGAAGATATTTATTTCAGCAGTTTAGAAAACAAAGAAGAAAATGAGTTCTATAAAATAATGCTGAAAAAATTAGTTAACGCAGAAACTTTTCCATTGCCTATCATATCTTTTATTAGTTGTAGTTTATACTTTTAAATTATTTAAAACTTTCATTCTGATAGTGTTTTGAAATTTTTATGTAACAATAGAACTGAAAGGACCTTTGAGTTCATTCCATTAGACCCTAGAACTTAGATAAGTTCAATGATTTGTCCAGAGGTTTCAGACTAATAAATGGGTTTTTCTTCTGGTCCCCATTTTTTCCCCTTTTTACCTCATTGTCTTTGAAGAAAATTTCCTTTATCAATTTAGCATATAACAATTTTTCCCCATTGTGTTATTTTAACTGGTATCTTTGTAAAAATAAGTCTGTTCTTACTATAAGAAGTCATAGTGATTAAAGTGCTTGACTGCTAGCCAAAAGGTTGGTGGGTTGAACCCAACAGCCACTCCATGGAAGAATAATTGACAGTTTACATCCAAAAAGATTTACAGTCTCAAAAACCCTATGGTGCAGTTTTACTCTGTTTCGTAGGTCATTATGAGTGGAATTGACTTGATGGCAGTGGATGTGGCTCTCACTAAGGGTTGATATTTACTCCACTCCATCTAATAAATCCTGTCCTAGTTATTACCTCCTCTTCAATTTTGCCTTTCTCTACTTTTTGTTTTGACTGATGCTTAATGCACTTGATTATATTTTGTAGGAGTGTTATATAGCTTGAGGTTGATCTTTGTTTTACAGATTAGATGCCTGAGGTTAAATAGCAGGAGGTTTTGAGTGGCTTAGCTTGATGTTGTAGCCTGTCTTCTGGCACAGGTTTCCCTGTTGACCTGTTAGATACACAGGTTTTCTTGCCTCTAGATATTAACTACGTTAAACATAGTTCCTAATGTCTTAGGAAGTAGGCGAGGAAACACTCCTTCAGCCAGAATAGTTGCTAACTTCTTTGTTTACATGTTGTGTTTCTGAGGGAAATTCTTTCATTTCTTCATTATTGATAGCATATTTTTAAAAAATCTATTTTGAGGAATATTTTTATTAGTTGATAAATTTTAGCCTTAAAATGTCATCAAAAGGGGGGGGGAAGTACCTCTTCATATTTTCCCATTATCTTAATAGTGTTTTCTGTTTAGTCATATCAATTTCATCATGCTGCTGTTATGCAATAAGAATGTCCTTTTGGTTATTACTCACCTTAGTGAAGCATTTCTTAAATTTCATTTAAAATTGGCATTGTTATTGCTGTTAAAATGCTATCAAATTGATTCCGACTCTTAGCACCAACCATATTTAGTGTTTCTGAGGAGCTGTTGGTGAGTTTGAACTGCCAACCTTGTGGTTAGCAGTGTAGCACTTATCCTACAGCTCCACACCAGGCTTTGAAATAATGACTTTAGAAATTAGATGATAGTATTGCTGTAGGATCAGCACTAGACTGTGAGCCACAAGGTCAGCAATTCAAACCCACCAGCTGCTCTTCAGAAAACTCTATACAGGGTCGCTGCTAAGAGTTGGAATCAACTCGATGTCACTTAACAACAAGAAGTATTATGTTTAGGAATTAAAAATTTCATATATTGCTTTTAGAGTTTCTAAATATTTTATTTGGCCAAATTAATTGGTGGGTCAAAGTGTTTGCTTTGCAGAAGAGTCTACAGTGGTACTTCTCACTGTTACTTTCTAATACCCAGACCCTGAAAACTCTTGTTACAAATAGACTCTACTAAATAGTAAAATTATGTTTTATGCTATAAAACCAAAATGATTAGAAGTCATTCATTCAGTTTTAAGATAGAGGTGAGACTTTAGGGATTAAGAATAAACTGGTTTAGTTATATAGCTTGCCTGTATCAGAGTCAGAAAGAGGAACTTAATCTAACTTCTCATCTTGTGTTCTTTATATTTCACCACACTACAGATAGCTTGGGAACCTATTTCTATTGAAAATACAAATGCTTCAGAGTAACGTTAAAACATCCTTATACCTAGATTTTAATTTTCCCCATGTTAAAGAACTATACAACATCAAAGGTAGAGAAATAGACATTGTGGCGTGTTTACAAATGTAGGCTCGGAAGTTGTCTGTGACTCTTGGGTAGTTCATTTCTCTTATTAATATTCTAGTTTCCACTTTGTTGCCCACTCTGTCTTTTATTGCCCACATGTGAAATGTTGTTGTTGTTATGTGCCGTGGAGTCAGTTCCAACTCATAGCAGCCCTGTACAGGGTTTCCGAGGCTATAAATCTTTACAGGAGCAGAAAGCCTCATCTTTCTCCCACAGAGTGGCTGGTAGTTTCGATCTGCTGACCTTGTGGTTCGCAGCCCGATTTGTAACCACTACACTACCACAACTCCTTACGTGTGAAATAAGGCTTGCTTATTTTGGAGAAAAGAGTCAGAAGCATGAATGGGTAAAAATGGATTTCTCCATTTTCAGCATTTTTTTTTTTTTTCCAAATGCTGTTAAGTACAAGTTGTCTGAGGCTCGGGACTATTTTTAGTACCTCTTTTAAAACAGATGCCTACATCTAATACACAATGTCAAATGTTACTCTGGATTTTAATTGATTATTAATTTTAAACATCACCTTTTTATTTTTAAATGATTTTAGGTTTATAAAAAATTGGCAAAGATAGCACAGACCCCATATATTCCTCAAGTAGTTTATCAAAACTTATGAATTCGACATTTGTAGACTGCTGTTAACTAGATTCCAAATTATTTGGCTATCATCAGTATTCCTATTAATACTCTTTTTTTGTCCCAGGGTACATGTACATGTGTCCTCAGTTTCCTCTATCTGTGACAGTTTCCTATTCTTTTTTTTTTTGTTCTAATGACCTAGACAGTCTTGAGGAGGGACTAGCATGATATTCTGTAAAATGTGCCCTACTCTGAGCTTGTTCGGCATTTTCCTTATGATTAGTTTAGCAAGTCCTTACTTCCTGGTATAAGGTGCTCTAGGCTCATTTTGGGGTTCCTCATGTGGCACTGTGTATAAGCAGTGGACTGTTAACTACAAGGTCAGTGGTTCAAATCCACAAGCTGCTCTTCAGAAACCATATACAGGGTTTGTATGAGTTGTAACCAACTTGATGGCACTTAACAATAGATTCATCTTGTGCATATTTTCCCTAGCCCAACTCAGAATGAGCCATTTCTCCAAGGAGTCTAGATTCTTTTTCGTTGGAGAATGGTATTTAGAAATTAAGATTTGGGCACAGAGTCTGTTCATTGCTACTGGGATGTCACTGCTTTTAGGCCTTCTCAGAACAATGCAATATATGTACATTGTGTATATATATATATATATA